AGACAGCAGCAATGGGAGGCCGTACAGGGACCCATGACAGATTACGGGCCTGGCAGCAGCATGAGGAGGCGGTACAGGGGCCCATGACAGATTACGGGCCTGGCAGCAGCAATGGGAGGCCCGTAATCTGCCAGCACCCTATGACAAAATGGAACCCACCAGCAGTGTGAGGAGACCTGAAAGTGGCACATGGCAGAGTGTGGCGATGGAGACAGCAGCAATGGGAGGCCGTACAGGGACCCATGACAGATTACGGACCTGGCAGCCTGGCAGCAGCATGAGGAAAGCGGTACAGGGGCCCATGGCAGATTACGGGCCTGGCAGCAGCAATGGGAGGCCCGTAATCTGCCAGCACCCTATGACAAAATGGAACCCACCAGCAGTGTGAGGAGACCTGAAAGTGGCACATGGCAGAGTGTGGCGATGGAGACATGGGGCCCCCTGGCCACGCTTGACTTTCTGGCCACATAGTCGACATGATCGACATACGGCTACGTTTACTTCCTCGGGCAGCTGGGAGACGAAAAATTGCCACACCGCCGAGTAGGAAACTTTGCCCCCGCTACTCCTCACTGGCTGACTGCTACTTCCTCCGTGCACACGGCACCACTACTGGGCCGTGGTGGTAGGCTGCAGTGGAGCTGGTGCTCTACTCCGTGGCCGTTTGCCTCCACTGACACTGCTGCGACCCTGCTGCCTCCTGGGCAACCCACCGACTGTTTTGCTCGCTGCCAAGCTGGCACCCTCTTCTCCTGATGATGCGGAAGCAATAGCCTGATGACGACGAGGCTGCCAAGTGCGATCAGCCTCATCATCATCAATTAGGGTCTCCGCCTCACTACTAGCCCCCTCGGCTGCGTGTGGGTCAGGAGACAGACCTGTCTCTAGACCGGCTACCGAGCCACTCTCCTCGCCAGTACTTCTTCGCCTGGCTGCTGAAGAGGCGGATGTCTCCCCCCGTTCCTGACCGCCCTCTGTTAGCTCTTCCTCACTGTACAGTGGGGGCTGAGCCCACAGCATGCGATACTTCGCTTGGTGAGGGAACACCAAAGGACAGGGGCAGGTAGAGGACACGTGATTTCAGTGGGCTTGCTCCCGGGCCATGCCAACTAACGGTTGTGTCTGACGTACCCACCGACCGTTGGCTGTAGGTGTCAGAGGTGACCTGGGAAGAGGAAGACGACCGAGCCAACCAATCGATGACGGCAGGGTTGTCGGTGGAGACACGACCGCTGGATGACACCGGGGGAGCACTGGCCTCTGGCTGCGACTAGTGCAGCCTCGACCCCTTCCTCTGCTGCCACGTCTGCTCGCTCCTGAAACATTGCCTCCTCTGCCACTCCTCTGCGTGTTGTCTGACATACTCTTTAATTCAACGATTCTGTGTCCCTGAGTAACGATTCTGTGTCCTTCAGTAACAATTCTGTGTCTGTCCCTGAGTAACAATGTCCCCTGTGTCCCTCAGTAACAATTCTGTGTCCCTCAGTCCCTGAGTAACAATTCTGTGTCCCTCAGTAACAATTCTGTGTCTGTCCCTGAGTAACAATTCTGTGTCCCTGAGTAACAGTTCTGTGTCCCTGAGTAACAATTCTGTGTCCCTCAGTAACAATTCTGTGTCCCTCAGTAACAATTATGTGTCCCTCAGTAACAATTCTGTGTCCTGTCCCTGAGTAACAATTCTGTGTCCCTGAGTAACAGTTCTGTGTCCCTGAGTAACAATTCTGTGTCCCTGAGTAACAGTTCTGTGTCCCTGAGTAACATTCTGTGTCCCTCAGTAACAATTCTGTGTCCCTCAGTAACAATTCTGTGTCTGTCCCTGAGTAACAATTCTGTGTCCCTCAGTAACAATTCTGTGTCCCTCAGTAACAATTCTGTGTCCCTCAGTAACAATTCTGTGTCTGTCCCTGAGTAACAATTCTGTGTCCCTGAGTAACAATTCTGTGTCCCTGAGTAACAATTCTGTGTCCCTGAGTAACAGTTCGGTGTCCCTGAGTAACTGTGTCCCTCAGTAATTCTGTGTCCCTGAGTAACAATTCTGTGTCCCTGAGTAACAATTCTGTGTCTGTCCCTGAGTAACAATTCTGTGTCCCTCAGTAACAATTCTGTGTCCCTCAGTAACAATTCTGTGTCTGTCCCTGAGTAACAATTCTGTGTCCCTCAGTAACAATTCTGTGTCCCTCAGTAACAATTCTGTGTCTGTCCCTGAGTAACAATTCTGTGTCCCTGAGTAACAATTCTGTGTCCCTGAGTAACAATTCTGTGTCCCTCAGTAACAATTCTGTGTCCCTCTGTGTCCAGTAACAATTCTGTGTGTCCCTGAGTAACAATTCTGTGTCCCTGAGTAACAATTCTGTGTCCCTGAGTAACAATTCTGTGTCCCCTGAGTAACAATTCTGTGTCCCTGAGTAACAATTCTGTGTCCCTGAGTAACAATTCTGTGTCCCTCAGTAACAATTCTGTGTCTGTCCCTGAGTAACAATTCTGTGTCCCTCAGTAACAATTCTGTGTCCCTCAGTAACAATTCTGTGTCCCTCAGTAACAATTCTGTGTCTGTCCCTGAGTAACAATTCTGTGTCCCTGAGTAACAATTCTGTGTCCCTGAGTAACAATTCTGTGTGTCCCTGAGTAACATTCTGTTCTGTGTCCCTCAGTAACAATTCTGTGTCTGTCCCTGAGTAACAATTCTGTGTCCCTCAGTAAACAATTCTGTGTCCCTCAGTAACAATTCTGTGTCTGTCCCTGAGTAACAATTCTGTGTCCCTCAGTAACAATTCTGTGTCCCTCAGTAACAATTCTGTGTCCCTCAGTAACAATTCTGTGTCTGTCCCTGAGTAACAATTCTGTGTCCCTGAGTAACATTCTGTGTCCCTGAGTAACAATTCTGTGTCCCTGAGTAACAATTCTGTGTCCCTGAGTAACAATTCTGTGTCCCTCAGTAACAATTCTGTGTGTCTGTCCCTGAGTAACAATTCTGTTCCCTCAGTAACAATTCTGTGTCCCTCAGTAACAATTCTGTGTCTGTCCCTGAGTAACAATTCTGTGTCCCTGAGTAACAGTTCTGTGTCCCTGAGTAACAGTTCTGTGTCCCTGAGTAACAATTCTGTGTCCCTGAGTAACAATTCTGTGTCCCTCAGTAACAATTCTGTGTCCCTGAGTAACAATTCTGTGTCCCTCAGTAACAATTCTGTGTGTCCCTGAGTAACAATTCTGTGTCCCTGAGTAACAATTCTGTGTCCCTGAGTAACAATTCTGTCTGTGTCCCTGAGTAACAATTCTGTGTCCCTGAGTAACAATTCTGTGTCCCTGAGTAACAATTCTGTGTCCCCTCAGTAACAATTCTGTGTCAGTAACCTGTGTCAGTAACAATTCTGTGTCTGTCCCTGAGTAACAATTCTGTGTCCCTCAGTAACAATTCTGTGTCCCTCAGTAACAATTCTGTGTCCCCTGAGTAACAATTCTGTGTCCCTGAGTAACAATTCTGTGTCCCTGAGTAACAATTCTGTGTCCCTGAGTAACAAGTTCTGTGTCCCTGAGTAACAATTCTGTGTCCCTGAGTAACAATTCTGTGTCCCCTGAGTAACAATTCTGTGTCCCTCAGTAACAATTCTGTGTCTGTCCCTGAGTAACAATTCTGTGTCCCTGAGTAACAAGTTCTGTGTCCCTGAGTAACATTCTGTGTCCCTGAGTAACAATTCTGTGTCCCTGAGTAACAATTCTGTGTCCCTGAGTAACAATTCTGTGTCCCTCAGTAACAATTCTGTGTCTGTCCCTGAGTAACAATTCTGTGTCCCTCAGTAACAATTCTGTGTCCCTGAGTAACAATTCTGTGTCTGTCCCTGAGTAAACAATTCTGTGTCCCTGAGTAACAATTCTGTGTCCCTGAGTAACAATTCTGTGTCCCTCAGTAACAGTTCTGTGTCCCTGAGTAACAGTTCTGTGTCCCTGAGTAACAATTCTGTGTCCCTGAGTAACAATTCTGTGTCCCTCAGTAACAATTCTGTGTCTGTCCCTGAGTAACAATTCTGTGTCCCCTGAGTAACAGTTCTGTGTCCCTGAGTAACAATTCTGTGTCCCTGAGTAACAATTCTGTGTCCCTGAGTAACAATTCTGTGTCCCTCAGTAACAATTCTGTGTCCCTGAGTAACAATTCTGTGTCTGTCCCTGAGTAACAATTCTGTGTCCCTCAGTAACAATTCTGTGTCCCTCAGTAACAATTCTGTGTCCCTCAGTAACAATTCTGTGTCCCTGAGTAACAATTCTGTGTCCCTCAGTAACAATTCTGTGTCTGTCCCTGAGTAACAATTCTGTGTCCCTGAGTAACAGTTCTGTGTCCCTGAGTAACAATTCTGTGTCCCTCAGTAACAATTCTGTGTCCCTCAGTAACAATTCTGTGTCTGTCCCTGAGTAACAATTCTGTGTCCCTGAGTAACAATTCTGTGTCCCTGAGTAACAATTCTGTGTCCCTGAGTAACAATTCTGTGTCCCTGAGTAACAATTCTGTGTCCCTGAGTAACAATTCTGTGTCCCTCAGTAACAATTCTGTGTAACAATTCTGTGTTTGTCCCTGAGTAACAATTCTGTGTCCCCAGTAACAATTCTGTGTCCCCAGTAACAATTCTGTGTCCCTCAGTAACAATTCTGTGTCTGTCCCTGAGTAACAATTCTGTGTGTCCCTGAGTAACAATTCTGTGTCCCTGAGTAACAATTCTGTGTCCCTGAGTAACAATTCTGTGTCCCTCAGTAACAATTCTGTGTCTGTCCCTGAGTAACAATTCTGTGTCCCTCAGTAACAATTCTGTGTCCCTCAGTAACAATTCTGTGTCCCTGAGTAACAATTCTGTGTCCCTCAGTAACAATTCTGTGTCCCTCAGTAACAATTCTGTGTCCCTCAGTAACAATTCTGTGTCTGTCCCTGAGTAACAATTCTGTGTCCCTGAGTAACAGTTCTGTGTCCCTGAGTAACAATTCTGTGTCCCTGAGTAACAATTCTGTGTCCCTGAAGTAACAATTCTGTGTCCCTCAGTAACAATTCTGTGTCTGTCCCTCAGTAACAATTCTGTTTCCCTCAGTAACAATTCTGTGTCCCTCAGTAACAATTCTGTGTCTGTCCCTGAGTAACAATTCTGTGTCCCTGAGTAACAGTTCTGTGTCCCTGAGTAACAATTCTGTGTCCCTGAGTAACAGTTCTGTGTCCCTGAGTAACAATTCTGTGTCCCTGAGTAACAATTCTGTGTCCCTCAGTAACAATTCTGTGTCCCTGAGTAACAATTCTGTGTCCCTCAGTAACAATTCTGTGTCTGTCCCTGAGTAAAATTCTGTGTCCCTGAGTAACAATTCTGTGTCCCTGAGTAACAATTCTGTGTCCCTGAGTAACAATTCTGTGTCCCTCAGTAACAATTCTGTGTCTGTCCCTCAGTAACAATTCTGTGTCCCTCAGTAACAATTCTGTGTCTGTCCCTGAGTAACAATTCTGTGTCCCTGAGTAACAGTTCTGTGTCCCTGAGTAACAATTCTGTGTCCCTGAGTAACAATTCTGTGTCCCTGAGTAACAATTCTGTGTCCCTGAGTAACAATTCTGTGTCCCTCAGTAACAATTCTGTGTCCCTGAGTAACAATTCTGTGTCCCTCAGTAACAATTCTGTGTCTGTCCCTGAGTAACAATTCTGTGTCCCTGAGTAACATTTCTGTGTCCCTGAGTAACAATTCTGTGTCCCTGAGTAACAATTCTGTGTCCCTCAGTAACAATTCTGTGTCCCTCAGTAACAATTCTGTGTCTGTCCCTGAGTAACAATTCTGTGTCCCTGAGTAACAATTCTGTGTCCCTCAGTAACAATTCTGTGTCTGTCCCTCAGTAACAATTCTGTGTCTGTCCCTGAGTAATAGTTCTGTGTCCCTGAGTAACAATTCTGTGTCCCTCAGTAACAGTTCTGTGTCCCTGAGTAACAGTTCTGTGTCCCTGAGTAACAATTCTGTGTCCCTGAGTAACAATTCTGTGTCCCTGAGTAACAATTCTGTGTCCCTCAGTAACAATTCTGTGTGTCTGTCCCCTGAGTAACAATTCTGTGTCCCTGAGTAACAATTCTGTGTCCCTAAGTAACGATTCTGTGGCCCTAAAGTCTCTTTGGCCCTAACTCTGTCCCTAATACAGAGAGGTCTGTCTCTCTTGAATGACCGGAGGCTAATGGAGAATTCTAAGATGGCCGCAATTTATAGCTCGACCATTACACAGTGCTTGCTGGCTGGTTGCTGATTGGCTAATGCGATCACATGTCATGAATGAATGCATTATGGGTCAGCGCGCCTTGTCTGCGCGCCTTCCCAGAGATCCCCGCTCCGTCGCCACACATGTCGCCACCATTTTTGGAAAATTTCGATTCGCGCATCCGAAGTCTGCTAATTTTCGGATTCGGCGCGAATCGAATTTTTCCTAATCTTCTAAACGAATTCCACTTCGCCAAGTTCGATTCGCTCATCTCTAGTTACAAGCTAACCTGTGTCTTGTACTGTACTCCAAAAAAGCAGATTTTACTGGTAAGTAAAGAATACTGTTTTATGGGCTACTGTAGATCAGAGCATAGTCCTTTATGGAGTTTTTAAATATAGCACAAAATGGCATGACATTGCTTTCTTATTTGTTCCACAGTCAACTGCCCCATAAATGGCTGTAAATCATTCAGTTTCTGACTCTATGACTAGATCTATAGGATGGGCATATTATCACCTAGCTCACAGATCATAACACTGATCAGTGCATGGAACAATCACACAGCACAGTGGCCACATCTGGAGGACAATAGCATAATAACTGCTGTGGTGTCCTACAAATAACATATGTCACAGATGAGATTTAGTGCTGTGCAATTGCATTGTCATTGTTCCTAACATTCCTGTATGAGTAGCAGACAAATATAACCATACTCCATACATATCTTGTTGACAGTATGGATCAACATAAAAAAAACTTAGTATTTTTAAAAGCAGAAGGTTTTTTATACCTTAATGTATTCTATGCAGAGCTTGCTCTCATTCCAGTGATGTGCACAAGAGTAGTGGCTCTCTGGGCTCTCTCCCTTTCTTTTCTTTGGCTCAGAGGCAACAGTGGAAGCCATTGGTTTCCTGCTGCTGATAATCACAGCCAATGAGTTGGGAGCGGGGATGGGTCTGAGCCCCGCTCTGTATGTCTGTGGACACACCACGCCAGCTCAGGAGTGAGCCCACAGTAGTAAATCCCCTGCTACTGGGGCCATTCAGTGGTGGGGGGGGGGGCAGGAGTACCGGCGCAGGACCCAAGAATAGAAGGATCGGAGCTGCTTTGTGCAAAACCATTGCACAGAGCAGATAATAAGTATACCATATTTTTTGTGTTTTCATTTAAAAAAAATATTGAGCATTTACAATCACTTTCACTAAATCACTACATTTCAATAATATCATACCCCCCACCCCATAAAAAACTCCATGTGAAAGAAAAAAAAAAACAACAACTACAACGCAGCACACACGTGGGTTAAGTACAGCCCTCCCTCTATGCTGACAGGACCTTAACTTATAAATTTACATCTTTTTTCCTCCTCATACACTAATGGATCAGAGCAGATTTGTCTACCTCACTGGAGTAAATCCCTGGCAGTGCAGCCATGTACTTTTTCCTGGGTGTGGTTCTGGCTCACTACTGCTAAATGGAGTAAATGTAGGGAGTCCCTGCTGCTGGCCCTTGGGGCAAGATGGTAGGTCAGCTGGACAATCCCTGAGCTATTCATAGGTTGTGCAGCTTCATCAATCCCTGCGTGGCAGATACATGACACTAAAATGCAACCTGTGGTTTCCACAGTGGGCATGCTGTTAATTTTGTGAATATAAACAATTAGCGTAGTAATACTATATAGTAATACTAAGGGAAACCAAACTCAAATCATATAACTATACTGCTCAAAAAAATTAAAGGAACACTTTGAAAACACATCAGATATCAATGGGGAAAAATATCATGCTGGCTATCTATACTTATATGGACTGGGTAATGTGTTAGGAATGTAAGGATGCCCCATCATTTGCTGGAAATTAAATTAGCAACCTACAGAGGACTGAATTCATAGACACCCTCAAAATCAAAGTGAAAAAATTATGTAGCAGGCTAGTCCATTTTGCTTAAATTTCATAGCAGCAACTCAAAATGGTACTCAGTAGTTTTGTATGGCCCCCATGTGCTTGTATGCATGCCTGACAATGTCGGTGCTTGCTCCTAATAAGACGACTGAGCTCCTGGACAGTGTGAGGTGCAACCTGGACACGTCAGATGGACCGAAACATGACATCCCAGAGGTGTTCTATTGGATTTAAGTCCGGCGAGCATGGGGGCCATTCAATAGTATCAGTTCCTTCATCCTCCAGGAACTGCCTACATACTCTCTCCACATGAGGCTGGGCTGGGCATTGCCTTGCACCAGGAGGAACCCAGGACCCACTGCACCAGCGTAGGGTCTGATAATGGGTCCAAGGATTTCATCCTTCAACCTCTCACTCTCCATGGGCATATTTCCCTCCCCGCTCAAACATGCACTGGTTACCCCCATATTTAAAAAACCCTCGCTGGACCCCACCTGTTTGAATAACTTAAGACCCATCTCCCTGCTCTCGTTTGCCTCCAAGCTTCTCAAGCTTGGAGGCAATTTTATGGGATTTTATGTGATAGACCAACACAAAGTGGCACATAATTGTAAAGTAGAAGGAAAATGATAAATGGTTTTTAAACGTTTTTTTACAAATAAATATCTGAAAAGTGTGGCATGTATTTGTATTCAGCCCCCCTGAGTCAATATTTTGTAGAACCACCTTTTGCTGCAATTACAGCTGCAAGTCTTTTTGGGTATTTCTCGTCAGTGTAAACTTCATAAACCTCCTTACTCCTCTCCACCAGGTATCATTGTTCAAGTGGTCTTCTGGTGGCGAGAGTATACAAGCCCACATCTGATGTCAATCTACAATGTTATGATAAAAAGTGGTTTTAATGTATCTACTTTCTGTGTGGTTTTCTAATCTTATTGAATAAAACTTTGAATATTGTTATTGTATCATTGGAGAATATTTGTTATCTTTCCGTGGCAATAGTTTGGTACATTCCGAGGAAAGAAGAACGCACTGGTGAGTTCAGCAACATAAAAAGACATGGACGTCCACAGAAGACAACAGTGGTGGATGATCGCAGGATCCTTTCTATAGTAGAGAAAAACCCCTTCACAACATCCAGACAAGTGAAGGACACTCTCCAGGAGGTGGGCGTATCATTGTCAAAGTCTACAACCAAGAGAAGACTTCACGAGAGCAAATACAGAGGGTTCACCACAAGGTGAAAACCATTCATAAGCCTGAAGAATAGAAAAGCCAGATTAGACTTTGCCAAAAAAAATCTAAAAAAGCCAGACCAGTTCTGGGAAAAGCATTCTTTGGATGGATGAAACTAAGATTAATCTGTACCAAAATGACGGGAAGAAAAAAGTGTGGAGAAGGCCTGGAACAGCTCATGATCCAAAGTACAGAACGTCATCTGTAAAACAGGGTGGAGGCAATGTGATTGCATGGTCCTTAGAAAACCCCCATGGGAGGGGCAAATATAAGTGGACTCTGATCTAATGGGGGTGTCTATGGGGGCCCTCTGTATTATAAAGGGTGGGGGGTGACACCTAGTTTTGCCACCTGCCTGAGATTCTCCCAGACAGTTCAGGTTTTAAGTAATGTGACCAGGGAGGGCTGTCTCTTTGCGGGATTGTAATGTCTGCTGAATATTGGGGAATGTCTCTTTGCTAGATTGGGCTGACTCTTTACTGCATGGGGCCATCTCTTTGAATATTTGGAGCTGTCCCTTTGCTGGATTGGGATGTCTCTTTGCTTAATATTTTGGGCTGTACCTTTGCTGGATATATGGAGATGTCTCTTTGCTGAATACATGGGGCTGCTGTCTCTTTGCTGTTCTTTAGCCAAAATATATTTCCTTACAGTTAAATCTTGAAAGAACCGATGACTTTAAATACACTTTTATTTTTCATATATTAAGTTGTAAGAGTGTTACAAATAAAACTGAGTGCACAGGAGGACTCAGTGGGACAGCCAGTGGGCAGGCTACAGCACATACACAGCAGCAGGGCAGGCATAATAGTCCCTGGGTCCCCATATTCTTCGGTAAGGACCATCAGTATAATGTACATTTTTCCTTTAGTATATTCATTAAATAATAATAAATTTATAGTATATTTATTAAATAAACTACAAAAACCACACACTGTATATGTATGAATAACCCTAAATTGTACCATAAGGGTGGAGCCTTATGTCTGGTGGCATATTTAAACAGTCAGTGGCCTGTCATGACAAACCAAACACCTTTTTAACTGTGTAATACCACTGCTGCTCTCTGCTCAGTACTTTCTCTGCTGCTTTCTGTTTCCCCCTGCTGCTCATGCTGCTGTGTTTGACCTTCTTGCAGGTATTTGCTGTTGTGATCTTTTTATACATCAAAGTGGTTCTAAAGGCAGATGATTTTTAACCTTAATGAATTCTACGCATTAAGGTAAAAGACCTTTTGCATGCAGATCTCCCGCAGCCCCCTTATATTTACCTGAGCCTGATCTTGATCGAACAATGTGCATGAGAGCAGCAGCTCTCTCCCTCCTCATTGGACAGAGAGGCAGCAGGGAGAGCAATTGGCTCCTGATACTGTCAATCACAGCCAG